GCTGCCACGCTATGGGGCTTGGAAAGGTGCTTTCAACCCTGAACCTCCAGGTACCTTTGGGATCTGTGGTTTTCATAATTTTCTGGTCAAGGAACCCCTTTTTAGCACCCCAAACCCAGGCCTTGGGGGACATCAGGACTGCTGTGGTTGAAGCGAGGGGGAGGGGCCGGCAGCTCCACCCACTCCCCTGACCCCGCCAGGGAGCCTGGGCTTCCGTGAGACACAAGTTTGAAAGCCACCATTCTGGTCCCACCTATTCATTATGCAGATAGGGAAACTGAGGCTCGGGAGGTGAGGGAACGACCCCAGAGTCACACAGTGGATGGGGGATGGAGCCAGGGCTCCCAACTCTGCCTGGGGCCTTTCGAGGCCAGCTTTGAGCAGCACCTGAAATCCAGGGAGAGTGTGAACTGGTCAGAGTTTTGTGTCCCCCTCTGAGCCGAGAAGCGCACAGGATGCCGCGTAGGCTGTCCCCCCAGAATGTAAACCATGGGCAAAGCATATGCTCCCCAAAGCAGAAGAGGGGAGCTGTTCCCAGATGCTGCTGACCAGCCAGGCCACCTCTCCAGATCCCAGGCAGTGGGCCACCCACCCCCACTCTCCTTCGGTCCACCCCACCCAACGCAGGGTCCATGGCTTGGCCCTGCCAGGGGCCTCTGCCCTGCAGGACCCCTCAGATGCGTCTCTGTTCGTTGCCTGCAGGGAATCAAGAAGCCCTACAACCCCATCCTGGGGGAGACCTTCCGCTGCTGCTGGTTCCACCCCCAGACCAACAGCCACACCTTCTACCTAGCAGAGCAGGCAAGCGCCCCCCACCTCTCCCGGCGCTGGGTGGGCAGGGCCCTGGCAGCAGGCGGGGCAGGTCTGACCCCAGTGCACGTTTCTTGATGGACCCACATCCTGCCCAACGGAAGGGCTCTGGGCCTGGCCGCTGCCAGCAGGAATTCCCAGAAGGCGCAGGCACGGTGTTGCTGTAGCCGTAGAAAACATCTCCTTGCTGGGGGGCAGTGCACCCCATTTCCCACGGGGCACTATGGGGCGACACAGGGATTCGAGTCTGCTGCTGCGCCCTACGACTCAGGCTGGGCACCCCTGGACATCATGGGCAAGAGCCGGGAGGGCCTCCCACATGGAGTCAGGGTTCGGGGCTTCTCCCCAGGAGGCTGGGCTCTCGCTTCCCTGGGATTGCCCATTTCTGGGGCCGTTTCCAGAGCTGCCTCTGCCCGCAGGTGTCCCACCACCCACCAGTGTCTGCCTTCCATGTCAGCAACCGGAAGGACGGCTTCTGCATTAGCGGCAGCATCACGGCCAAGTCCAGGTTCTATGGTGAGGGGCTCACCCTGGGTGCTTCCTGGGGCCTCGGGGAAATGGGGAAGGACCCGGCTCCAGGAGCTGTTGGACACCAAGAGCTCAAGTGGTGGCCGTGTGCACATCAGCGACACATGGGGGTAAAAGTGCTCAGACCCTGGATGGGGCAGAGCCGGCCCAGAGCCCGGCCTGGGCTCATTTCCCCAGCTGGGAGTGGGCACCTTTTGCAGGGATGCCATGAGGGCTGAGAGACCTGCAAGAAAGGTGCAGTCTGGAGCTGTGCAGTTTGGTAGCCACTAGCCGCGTGTGGCTGTCTAAGTGGATTAAAATGAAATAAAACTTTAAACTCAATCCCTCAGTCATAGGAGACATGTCGCACGTGCTCAGTAGCCACACGTGGCTGGTGGCCCCGTGTAGGGCAGGCAGGAAGGCTCCATCATCACAGGAAGGTCTTTGGGACGTGGGTGCACAGAAAGTGTCTGTTTCCATTTCCCCGTTGTTGGCAGAGGGTGCTGCATGCCCGTGTGCCCAGCTGGCTGCAGGGTGCATGGAGGTCTGCAGGGGGTGACAGGGGGCATCTCCTTCAGGGTCCATTCACCTTTTCTGCCCCATGCTCCCATCTCTGGCAGCAGCTGGGGGTGGAACCCCTCTACCAGGATGTTTAAAATCCAAGAGGGGCTCAGGCTAGAATCCCTGGTTTTGTAACTGAAATAAACCTTTGACATGTCAAAGTTAAATAACTTTTCAGGACAGATGGGTGGCAGGGCTTTCACGGAGCATGGGGCTCAGAGAGGTTCCATGACTTACCCACAATCACACAGCTGTGTGTGCCGGGAACTCTTCTGACCTGTTGGAAGGGACCTCAGACCCCGTGACCATAGGGGTGGCCCCGGGTGCCGAGGGTCTTTCTGTGTCACTGATGCCACGGCCCCTGTCTCTGCAGGGAACTCACTGTCAGCTCTGCTGGACGGCAAGGCCACTCTCACCTTCCTGAACCGAGCGGAGGATTATACACTCACCATGCCCTACGCCCACTGCAGAGGTGAGAAGCTGCACCGCCCACCCCCGTGCAGAGCCCGAGCTGGCCCCTCAGTGAGCCCGCCCGGTGCCAAACCCTTCTGGTTTCTATTTGTTTGAAGATAATTTTATTTCACCCTCACTCGTCAGTGGTTTCTTTAAGCTAGGTATGCAACTCCAGGTAGATTGTTATTTTTCTCCCTTTTGAAAACTTCTTTTTACTGCTTTCTGGCTTCAATCGTGGTCAGTGATCAGTCAGCGGCCAGCCTATTTGTTACATAATCTGCTTTTCTCTGTAGCGACTTTCCAGATATTCTCTGTCGTTGGTGCAGTGCAATCTCACAGTAGTGTGTTTGGGTTTATTTTTTTAATTATTAGACTTTCTTTTTTTTTTTTTTTGTCTTTTGTCTTTTTTTTTCCGTGTCCGGCAACGGACCGCAACCCT